ATACACTTATTCTCAAGTTATTGTCTGGAAACCAAATGACATCGAACGACAACAATGCTGACAACATTGTAACATTAAACAATCGCAAAAATTTTGCAGCCATATAATAAACTGCAAATAATTATTACTTCAGTGTCAAAACAGGTCCACAGATTTTTCTCCAAATTTGAGGTTAGATAAAACTTGTTGTGCTGAACATTTTTAACATTGCCAGTTTTTCTCTTAATTGTTAAAATGTTATAGTTTGTAGTTTGACCCCTACAACTTAAGGTCTTGCAGGCTTGACCTTTAAACTATTGCTTTTCTGTATGTTCTATTTCAAGGCATGGTGGCTATGTTGGTTGATCAACCAGAACTAAAATCACAAACTTTATAGCTGAAATCCTTTATATACTGCAGACAAAATTTAGTTTCAATCCATTCAGTAGTTTCTGAGAAGATTTTTAAAGATGCAAAGTGATGATATTTTTACTAACAGTGACCTAAATCAACCTTTAAACCCAAAATCAATCAGTGTCTTCCCCTTCCTTATATCCTCCATCTGTATAAGTTTTATTCCAATCAAGCAAGGGAAACTCAAGCTACCATCTGGAAACCACTTCTTCAACAACAAAAATCAACTAGTTTTTCTCAGAAGGCTGTATGGTTGCCTATAATTGCTTACATCCACTTCATTTGTTCTTTGGATGGATAGTCGTCTCATTGGCAATCATACCACATCTCCTTATTTTTATAGTAACACTTCAAAGTCACCTTGCCCTATTGACCTCAAAATCAAGTGGATTCTTGTCCTTCTCTTTATCTTCCACCTTTAAAAGTTTCATTCCAATTAAGCAAGGCAAACTCAAGTTACCATCTGGAATCTATTCTCAGATTTCTTCCCCTATTTTAGTAACAGTGACCTTGATCTTTGACATTTTGACCTCAAATTCTTATCCTTGCATCTGTTTAAGTTTCATTCCAATCAAATAAATAAAGCTCATGTTACCATCTGCAAACTATTTTTAATTTTTTAGTAAGTGACCTTGACCTTTGACCTATTGACCATGAAAAGATTTCTTGCCCTTCCCTACATAACTTTTAATCCAATCAAGCAAGGGATTCTAAAGTTATCTGAAAACTATTTGTTTCTGACACCATGGACGGACAGACAAAGCAATTATTTATGCCCATATAATTTTTTTTCTGGGAGCATAATATCAACCAATCAATAAAAGATGTTCACTACTGAAAACATAGTATATCTCATTACAGTTTTTTAATCAATCAGGCCATTTGTTTTTTCTATTGAATTGCTTCACATTTTGACATGCCAGGGTTGTTTATAGCTGACTATATGGTCTGGATTTTAGTAATTGTTGAAGGATGTGCCCTATAGTTGTAAACATCCCTGTCTTTTGGTCTCTGGTGCATAGTTGTCTCTTTGACAAACATACCACATCTCCTTATTTATATATTATTTTAAAAAGCTATATAGAAATGTGCTGCAAGTGATCTTGACCTTTGATTTTGACCTTGAAATGTAAAATATAATTAAATTAACTAGATACATTTTATTTACTTTTTTTGTCTTTTTCCCTATGTCCAATTAAGCACATTCTACATCATTTGTTCTCTGTTAGAGAGTTGTCTCATTGGCAATCATACCACATCTTATTTTTATACATACAACAATGATATTTCACAGTTCCTGCTTGACCTTTTTTTACAGGCCACTTAAATATTGATAAAACACATTATATGTAGTAAATTTTTATCAATTTCAAAGGTTCAAATATTGAATGAATTCATAATAATTCTATCTAACAATATTAACTTTACAAAATAATATGGGCTCTACCTGTGCCCTGTGTTAAACTAAAAAGTTGACCAATATACAGGTATATGGCACAAAGGCTTGCATATATAATGTACAAAGACCAGCCTAAATTTGTTGTCTGCAGTGATACTAATCCTACACCACTAATTGAAGCAGAAGCAGGAAGCATGTCCTGTTTGCCTTGCGTTACATTTTTTACAGTGAAACCGGTGTGTTTGAGGACTTTTTTTCTGCCAAATTGGCAGAGTGTAAAAGAGGAAAGAATTGTCAAAAAATATTTGATATCACATGTAACAGATTTTAAAACTTTTAACAATTTTCATTTAGTGACATGCATATAAATTAAACCATAATAAGACAATGTGTCACCTTATGAGTAGCTTTAAAGGACAATGTGTTATACAAACAAAAACTAATTTGTGATTGTGCAAGAGAATTTCTACAACAAATTATAGCTGGTCTCTGTCACGGAGTCTAGATCTATAGCTGGTCTCTATCATCAAAGCTAGTCTCTGTCACAGAGGCAAGATCTATGCACCAGTCACTAACACGTAGGCTAGATCTGTAGCTGGTCTTTGTGACGGAGGCTAGATCTATGCACCAATGTCGATAATTCAGCATCAAATTTGGAAGCAGTTTAATGACTTAGATATCATAATAATTACATATTGATTTTTATTGCACATTGAAATTATCGGCAAAATGATGTGACATACAAAAGCATTACAATTACCTCCTCAATGATATTTACATGAACTTGGAACAAAAATACATTCTGAAAATATTTTTTCTTGCATTTTATGCTAATTCCATTAAAAGAGAAAGCTTCTTATATTTTAGTTTGCCACTTTAAATCAGTATCTATTTTTTTATATTTTTCTCAAATGATTGAAAAAAAATTTATAATATGCAAACAAATACTCTGACTTATTATATTACTTGAAGTAATACAGATGATCAAGTTTTCTTTAAATTGAAAAAAATGGAACCTTAAGGTGGTACCCAACACCTTGACTAATATTAATTTGGCTCGTTTAATTTTCCTAAAATTTTGACAAAATGTTTACTTTGACCCTTTGACAAAAATATAAAAATTTCGAATAATTTGAACCAACCACTTTATCAGAAAAATTTCGTTGGTTATATAGCAGTTTGACAAACACTAATTTTGATCATTGAGAAGCGTAATATTTCCTTAACAATACAACGTAATTAAAACGTTTAGCTGATTTTTACAGAGTTATCTCCCTGTAGTGTTAGGTACCACCTTAAGTGACAATAAATTTGTGATCAATTTTACAATATAAGTAGTGAAAAGAAGTTGATCAATAGTAAAATTTCATTATTGTCACAATTTTTGGCTCATTTAATTTTGACAATTCTACAGAAAAAAACTAATCTAAAAGTTGCTTAAAAAATTATCTGTTTCCATGCATTTCAAATTGTCACTATGAACCAAAAGAAAGAGGGTAACTTATGTAATCAACAATGTTATTCACAACCTTTTAAGTAAAATGCCCCGACTTATTTTTTACATGAGAGTCTAGATCAAGATCTACATACCTGTATTGTTTCAAATATTTAGGCTTTTTTTCTTTATTTTTCTGCCATTATTCTCTATTTTTGGCCCATTAGTTTCTATATTACTATAGAAACCCCACCCAGACCCTCTTACATGTTGTACATATTTTAATAAATTATGCTCTGTGTATGTATTATGCTGAAAACTCACATCAAAACAATAAATCTGCAAGCTCATATGCTAGATAAACATTGTCATGTCTTTTTTCTTCTTGGTGAAAACTACAAGTGTTTTCTGGAATTTTTCTGGTGACAACATTTTTTTCAAATATCCTAATCAATTAGCAGTCACATAAGGGTCAAATTAAGAAATAGTTAACTTGAATATTTTAGAAAGATTGAATTCCTTGAATAGAAATTAAATTGTAAGCTATGTATAGCTATCAAAAATTGACAGGTTACATCTAAGTTTGCATAGAAATGTTTTATTATTGACTTAAGTAACATGCATTGAGAGGTTAGCAAAAAATTTATGAAAAAATAGAAAAAAATAGACAATATGTTCCTTCATTTCATAAAACACAAGATTTCTTTAAAACTAAGGAAGAACTGACCCATCTTCAATGCAAACTTATTTCAGGTACAGAATAATAAAAAATACTGAGCAATTAAATATAACTAAACATATTGCACGAAAAATTAAGAAATAAAATTTTAAAAAACTTAATACAACTTAAATATTTTTTCCCTCATAAAAGAAAATGCATCTTTTTTCACTGCTTATCTGTACAATACCACACAAAATACAAACTATGATGGAACATAAAAAATTATAAAAAATGGACTGCAGAATATGTAAGTTTTGCATTTATCGGATGTAAAAAAAATATCAAGTTACAACAATGGTCCTGGCAGATGGAGAAAAAATTTCAATGAATCTGAGATCATATTTTTTTGTAAGTTGGACCAAATGATAAGTAAATGCTAGCTGATTTCAAAAGAATGGACCAATCCTGTTTTACAGGTGTAAAACATCATCTATTAACATCACATTACAAACTGGTTGTTAGAGTAATTTTTATCATCACCTTAAGCTACAGAAGCAGAAAATACTTGAACTATAGAGATTAAGCAGTTATAATGGAATCTGTAATACTGAACATTGTGGAGCAGTTTTGTTGATCTCGACTAAATTTAGGGAACATCTGCTGAACATATCATTCAAACTTCCATTAATTCATTTAAAGGTATGCAATTTTAGGAGAATAATCTATTATAACATATATCGGTCTTATTAATGCATAATTACTACATGTACATGGACTAATTTTTAACATTTTGATTGAAATAAATACATTCAACATTCAATATTAATTACATATAAATAATACTAAATGCATCAATATTTCTCCTTCCAAGATCAATCTGATAGTTTATTCCTTTAAAGCACCAATTTGTCAGTATCAAAAATTGCAAATACTTCATCACAAAAATCAATCTTTCTTTTCAAAACCATCTTCACACATATTCATGCCATTTAAAAATATCTTCTCATTCATTCCAATTCAGTCTATTAATAGACTACATCACTATGGCTACACATCAATTATTTCTGGACTAGATAAATTTGACAGAATATGATTGGCTGCTCTCTGGACGTCCCAGTCACATGCCATTAAGGCTTCTTTACAAAGGGTTATGTCCCCAAGTTGAGCACTTAATAATTGTTTGAGTTTGACATATTTTATTGCCATGGGAACATTCCATTTAGTCTCTGTTAGGGCCTGCTGGCAATCTTCAACACTAATCTGTAATATAATAATACTTGTAATTTTATTTTCATTCAAAAAGGGACCAAACATGATGTGTTGCATTTCTATGGGCACTCAGCATATAGGACCAAACATGATGTGCTGCATTTCTATTGGCGCTTAGCATATAGGACCAAACATGATGTGTTACATTTCTATTAGTGCCCAGCAAATAGGACCAAACATGATGTGCTGCATTTCTATGCTGAAGCCTGCAATGTTTTTGCTTTAAATTATAAGGTTATAATTATCTACAATCAAATAAACTCATTATTTTCCAGAATATAATTTAAGATGTCTTGAAAGTGATATTTGTTGCTTAAAGAGACATACAAACAATTACTATTTTGAGGGAGTAAATATGTTTCTAAATTAAAGAACCTTAGTGAGCGAGCCCACATACCCCACGTCCCCACATTGTCATTGGAGAAATAAATTAAGTGTAAGAAAAAAAAAATGAATCAAAATTTCCTGTCAATATGCACATCTACATAGTATGTCCTTATTATCTACAAAGTTTCATGACATTCTGTTGTGTGGTTTCAGAGGAGTTGCGATGACAAACTGTTGCAGAAGTACATTGAAGCAAATAAGTTCAAAGGGGCGTTACTCCTAGAAAAAAAAAATTGAATCGCAATTTCCTGTCGATATGCATATCTACATAGTATGTCCTTATTATCTACAAAGTTTCATGAAATTCTGTGGTGTAGTTTCAGAGGAGTTGCAATGACAAACTGTTGCAGTAGTACATTGAAGCAAATAAGTTCAAAGGGGCGTAACTCCTAGAAAAAAAATTGAATCGTAATTTCCTGTCGATATGCACATCTACATAGTACGTCCTTATTATCTACAAAGTTTTATGAAATTCTGTGGTGTGGTTTGAGAGGAGTTGCGATGACAAGAAACAGGACTGACGGACAGACGGACAGACAGACGGGTCAAAAACATTATACCCTTCGCAAAAAATTTGCGTGGGGTATAATTAATGAATGTTATATTGATAAATGTGTGCCTATTGATTATATATATTGATAAAGAAACCTGGTGTGCAGTGGTTGTTTGTTGATGTGGTTCATAAGTGTTTCTCGTTTCTCGTTTTTTATTTAGATTAGACCATTGGTTTTCCTGTTTGAATGGTTTTATACTAGTCAATTTTGGGGCCCTTTATAGCTTGCTGTTCGGTGTGAGCCAAGGCTCCGTGTTGAAGGCCGTACTTTGACCTATAATAGTTTACTTTTGCAAATTGTGACTTGGATGGAGAGTTGTCTCATTGGCACTCATACCACATCTTCTTATATCTATGAACTACAATACTTTTAGTACCTCATTTTTAAACACAGATCTCATCATCTCTACTTCCTGGCAGTTCTTCTCCCTGTGTAATGTATAAATATTCTGGTTATAAAAGCTTCCTTCACCAACAACATACATGCACAAGTTCACTTAAATTATCTCCCTTTCAGTTGTGTTTACAAATGAACTGTATCAGTCCAATGTCAATACTATTATCGTGACACCGTGCAATCTCTTTTTTTTATAACAGAAAAATTAATGAAAGTTCCTCAGTCAAATCTTTACCTTTACATCTCTACACTGAAATGGTTTAAAGTATTCAGCAAAAAATATAGTGAAACTTGGCACATATGCTTTTTATTTGAATATAGATATATTAATATAAAGATATATGTTTATAAGAGTAAAGCATTGATGATGATGATTCTATAGCCCGCTGATTGATGTAATTTTCTTACATGCAATTTACTGGTATCCTTATTGGGAGGTTTCTATATTACATATTTTGGACAATAATTTTAACCTGAAAACTTTAAAGATTTCAATTAGGATATAGATTTTGCAACAGTAATCTGCAAATACTTGGTATTTTTTTTATATATGTTGTAGTTATTTAATTTCAGCAAAAATTAAAATGTGAGATGTATTTGGTGTACTAGTCATCATTTAACTTTGTTCACATCTCTAAGAAAATTAATATTTAAATTTGCCGTATATGTAAAAATAATTCAGCTAGAGACAACATAGTACCCCCTGTTAAGAACTGATTGATTGTATCTTACTTTGCGTCCAGTAGCAAATTTTTAAGCATATTCAGGCCATGAACAAATTGGTTGACTAATGCTTGCTTAACCGCCAGTCACTTTACTGGCAAATATTTCAGGCATTCAGAAGGAGAACAAACCAACAGTTAATATAATAGGCAAAGTTGGTCGATCAGGATAGAGGGCAGGAAAGAAGAAGGTATAAACAATTAGGCAACATATTTATTAATTTTGTCTTTCATATTTGCATTAGGGCTATAAAATTCTTGCATTAAGTAAAAAATTGCAAAACTGCCATAAAAGCGTCATTTTAAGTTCTTCTTATTAATATTTTGATATGAGCCAAGGCCTTACCAAAAAGATACTTAACTACAAGATGTCTTATCCCAAGATTTTAAAGTGAGTAAAATATCTTTTTGGGTTAGGACTTTGCTTATATTAAATTTGTCCAAAGACTATGTGTAAAATGGATTGTTTAGGTAAAATTCAAGATGTTTATGATGTGGTAATGACATCACGTGACATTTCTGCACTAGAGAGTCAAGATTATATTGGCATATTCAATCATCAATCAAGTTAACAAGATTTTGAAAGGCTTAAAGAATTTTACTATTTCTGCAATTTCAGGGGCCAAATAATGTCTCCTTTCATATCTCCTCTTTGAACTGCAACTTTAAAATAAGGTTCATTGTATTTGATGAGCAGAATTTTGTCTACCAATATGCTGACTTTAGAGTACAGATCCCTAAGGAAGTTTGATGCAAGGTTTCTTTAATATATAGAAAGCATGGCACACTCCCTAAGCCAATCATCAGATTTAATGTCCCCATTCCAACATCTAGACATAGATGTGTATTCATGTCACGCACAGCCAAATGGACACCCAACTTTAGCAAGGCATTCACTTACCAATAGGAGGAGTTTCTATACCAAAGTCGAACCTTACTTTACAAGAACAAATCAACAATGACAAAGAATAGTAAGAAATAAAGGTTCCATCATAGGTTGCATCAAGTGTGTTACAATATTTCTCCACTCGAGACAGTTAAATTGTAAAATTTAAAACTCGAGGCTTGCTGAGCTTTTTAAATATTTTAAAATTTAACTGTTGAGAGTGGTTAAATATCATAATACACAAGATATAGTGGTGGAAACTGTTTCTCTGATGATTTTAAGACGATATCTAAACAAGTTTATCCTTCCTCTTCAAACATTTGCAGAAAGTTGTGTTCTTAATATGTGACTTCATCAGACATGGTCGCCTTTTTTTTTTATGACGTCACATTAGGAAATTCAGAAGAAATTAAGAAAATTTGACGTGATAATTGAAATTTCGACCAATCGTTTTCCAAGTACAAAGTTTTCAACAGAGAGGAGAAATATTTTTCTCACACCCATCGAGACATGAAAATAAGAGAAGGGTTCTTTAACATGCAGAGAGTATGACACTCTCCCTACACAGGTCCTGTTGCTTATGATATTACATGTTAGGGTGGATACAGGAGCTTATTCAAACAAAGAGAAATGGCCAAATTTCTACTGTATTTGTTTCATTCAGTGACAAAACCAAAAAGCTGAAGAATTTGGCTACTAAAAATTCTTAATGCAAAATACTTTGTTTAAAGAATTTTTTTTTACAATTTTATATGTACACTGTATTCAGAAAGTCATAAAATTTATTCAGAACTCTACATTCATGTTGAAAACACCTTTGATACATTGTATAATAAAATCAAATGTGCATTGAAATACATCCAGAACCAAATTTGAATTTTTAAATCCCAAAAGTATGGCCCTGGTGTGAAACTATTTTATTGGGAAATTGGCCATTCCTCTGTAACTCTGTTAAAAATAAATTCTAGAAAAAATTCTTTGCTGGTATGTCAAGGCAATGTTATACAGGTTAAATAAGCATTTCTATTTAATCTGTAAGATCATTCCATTAAAAGGACTGAATATATGATCTATAATATGTAGATTAGTATAAGTTTTACCACAATATTAATATTTAATAACTGTAATTAAATTTGCAAAACATTCATTTTACACATATAGTATTAACTTGTTAATTCAACAGAAAAAAACACATACAAAATTCTCACAATGACATAGAATGAAAATCGATTTCATATACAATACATGTTTCTCAAAATAAAATGACATTTATTCATAACAATCAATAATTTTCACTTGCATACAAAATATGTTGATTGAACCCAGTAACTGAAATATTGCAGGTATTTTAAGTTTTCAGCTTTTTGATGTCCTAAATATGCATGAAATATTGGCCACTGGAGATTAAGCAAGTCTCAATCAATCAATAAAAAAATGATGTAATTTCCAAAAAAATAAATTATTTACTTTGAAAAATCTATATAAAATAATTGTATCAATATTAGACATGTAATTTTTCTTTCCCAAGAGCATCTTTTTCAAAACATTCACCAAAATCTTGATAATGTTGTTTTTTGAAGGTCACTAAAGATGTTTCCCTCTGTACACCAGATACTGCAGTTGACTGGCTCCAAATGGACTGTTAACTGCATTCATAGAATTGTTAAGCAGGAATCCACTTAGCTGTCATATACTGGTTTTGGTGTATAGTTAGTTATTGAACCCTAACTGTGGGGTGAATAATCTATTGGGTGGAAACTGCAATATCTGTGGTACTAGGAAACATCATGACATATGTGCACTTATAACTCTGGTTAATTATTGTATTGTAATATTTATAATTGTATTCCAATATTTTTAATACTGTAAATTCAGATGTGATTGCATGCATTATTGTGATTTTTGAAGAATGAACAAAAATGTGATTTTAATTATTGCGATTTTACGAAAAGCAACATACAGATATATGTGTCAGATATCAGAATGTGACTTCTTAATATTGCGATACAAGGAAACGTATTATTTACATTCATTAAAACCTGGCAATAATTTCTGAATTTACAGTAATCAGTAAAACTTAATGATAATGGTAAATCTTGAGATCTCTATAAATCAACTTTACACAATAATAACAATTGATATCTACAACCTTTCTCGATCTATGCACCCCATGCTGTTAGTTATTGTGCTTAAAACAGTGAATTTCAAATCCTAACGGAAATTATAGAAATTAACTTTCAAGTTATCTGTTCTATTATCTAATGTCAGTGCATCCTCATCAGTCTATCACTCATATAACAAATTTTAAAATCCATCATATTTAAAGAATCTCCCTCCCAGTAGATTTAAAAAAAATCTTTCACAACAGTTTGACACAAAAATTCCAATATTAATGTGAGAGTGCAATTTCACAGCAGTGATTGGAATAAAAATTTACTTTGGACATTTCATTAAGTAACAAAGAGTTCCAAGTTTCAATGGTCCTATTTCTAAATAAATGGGGAATGTGTCCATGGGACACACATGATGCCCCCGCTTGCATATAACATTAAAAAGGGACATAACTCAAGAACTGTAAAAGTGATGCTATCCAAATTTGTACTTGATCTGAGTTTTGTGGTAATAAGCATTGTGTATACGTTTCATAACATTTAATTGAGGCAAACTTAAGTTAGAGAACAGAAACGAAAAATTCAGCATTTTTTCCATTTGTAAAGGGGCATAACTCTAGAACGATAAAAGTGACGCCACCAAAATTCAAACTTGATCTGTGTTTTGTAGTAATAAGCATTGTGTATAAGTTTCATAATATTTGGTTGAGGCAAACGTAAGTTAGAGAACGGAAACCAATTTTGGGACATACGGATGGACGGACGTACCTACTGACGGACAAGGGTAAAACTTAATGCCCCCTCCGCTACAGTGGGGGCATAAAAAATGTGTACTTCAGTTTCCATTTCTTCTAAATTTTTTCAATTCTAAGGGATATGCTTCTGGCCCAATCCCTTTGAAAATACTGATGGTTTATTTGTTTGGTATTCCAGGAATAGTAATTTCTGTGATCTAGTGAAAACATAACTATCTGAGCATGCCTTAGTGTCAAAAAACTTAATTCTTACATTAAGTCCAGAAATGAGTTTAAAGTATACACATTCTGGGACATTTTTTTGATAAGAGCTGATGAACATACTTATTTATAAGTTACCTACCGGTACATAAAAATCTATACAAGAATTGATAAAAAAAAAAAAGATTTCAACAATACAAAAATCATTAGAAAAAGCAAAATAGTTCTATAGTTACATGTCTTTGATTCTGCATATTTTAAAGTTTTGTACATAAAAAATTAACAGTTATGAAAAATTTATTGTATGGCATCATAGAATTAAAAGAGTAGAAAGGAAAAAAGAGAAGCTAGATTAAAATAAATTGAATAAATTAATAAATTATCAAGCTGCCTTAATTGTTAACAAAAAGTGCCAAATTAGTAATAAAGATTTACATTTCAACTAATGGTCTGATTACCTGATCAATGTCATTCTCAGAAAAGTAGAATAAAGACTAGAAACATTCCAATCACCTCTTTTTTTATTTGATTTGAAAAGGTGCATCACCTGAATTCCCCGAATAGGTAATTGTCCATTGACCTAATCTGAGGTCGAGTTATTTCCCTTTGCCACAAAGTTAGAGGGCAACATGCACAAATTCCTTTATAAATCTACCATATTAAACTTGTTATACTGACTGCTAGACTTAAAAAAATGTTTGGTTTCTAAAAAATCTTATTTGTTTAAGCCTTGCATAAATCATCATTATAATCTAGTAAGGATATTTTAATTATCATTTTTGCTTAAACCGTGTTTGAATTTGGCTAGTCAAATAAGAAAATCAACCAGTTTGCTCTCCACCATGACATCCAAGGGAAATAACTCCAACTCAAATTACATCAAAGGAAACTATTTATTGTATTAATTATTTCTGTACAAAAATGTTTTATGATGAGGGGATATAAGATTTCATCTGAAACTGTATACATGTTAGGGTTTAGTTCAGAGATGCAATCTTCTGATAATTAAAGAGTTCTCCTAATTATCATACTTAAACTTCTGATAAACTATCTTACTATTTCCAAAGAGAAACTATGAAATGATTACAATCCTCTGACATAAGGTCTATTCTCCTGATCAAAATTCCAAAATATAACGATTTTATTTTTTAGTATGGCAAATGTTAATATTAGCATCAGTCAGCCATGTTAACTTTTTTACTTACTTTATTTGATTGGCTATTTATTAAAATCATAAATAAGGACTAAATTAGTTAAATGACATAACAATGTAAAATTCATTTAATAAAATTTTAATGAGGGGAAATGTTTTGTCTGTCCATCCAAATGTTTCCAGCAACCCTGCCATGCATCTTTCTTTACACATCACCAGAAGCCTACTCCTTGGCACAGATTCACTATGCCCAACTATTTCCTACATTTGATTTTAAACTTACTGATTATGACTAGCGTCACACCCATCTATGATAAAAATATAACAAAATTATCATTCGTCTAATTTCTACATCTAAATAAATAGTTCTCATATAAAATTCTACATGGGATGAGTAAGAATGACATTGACCTTTAACCCAGATCTAATACCTATGAAGCAGCTTATAACTCCAGATAAAATGCTGAAATAGAATACACAACAATCAAGTGTCAGTGATTAAAAAGCAAAGATGAGGAGTGTGTACTGTTAACAGCAGGTCATTTGTCAACTGATTAAAAATATGTATCCGACTGATCTGCCTGCGACTCCATACATGTTACATGTATGTGACCATGGATAGGATACCAGTGTTTCTTTTAAAATCAGCAATGATACCATTGAATAGAACTACAACAATTGTTGTTCCAGTTTGGTATTTTTATAAGAATTACTCCTGACTCCTTATTTTGTAAAAATATTTAATTTTTAGGGGTAGGGATCAATCGTTATGATGATTTTGTGGAAACTAATACCGATTTATAACAAATCATTAAGTGTTGCTACACTGAACAACCTCATCCATACAGAAATTGAAGTAATTCTTGAATAAAATTTTCTACTGATTTGGTATATTTAATAAATCTCTTAAACAAATCTCCCCAAAATCCATGCCAATATAATCTCTAAAAATTTTCATCATAGTCATTTCTAACATAATCTCTAAAATTATTATAATTCTTGCCAATAAATTATAACAAAGCAATTGCATTGCAATTCTTGCAAAAATAGTCTCAAAAATTATCATTGTAGTCCCTGAATATATAATCTCAAAAAATCATCATTAAAATTATTGCAAATGTAGCCTCAAAAATATTATCATCAGAAACCTTGCCATTAAAAGCATTGATGAAATGATGTAATGAGTGAACCAAGCAAGCAATCAGTCAGATAATTACACGAGAATGCTCAAGCAGACAAAGACTCATGACCCACAGTTACAGTATATTATAATGAAGGCATCAAGACAGATGAAAGCTTCACACAGCAAAGATGCCATACCTATCAAATGCAAAATCAAGCAAGTCTTCATAGCTGACACCTTCCGAAGTTTTGTAGTTAGCTAGCATGAGTGGTGACACCTCCTCCGAGCTACCCCTATCTGAAATATTTCTACCAGCAAGAGTTAGTGTTTTGACCCAGAAAGGGTCTTTTCGGTTGTAAAATCCAAGCTGTTCTAAATTGCACTTGACTTTTTGAAACTGAAATTTGACTCTTGGAAATGTTGAAGATTTAGATGATGTGTCTATTTTTAAAGTAGTTGGCGGTGTTATATCATGTCCTTCAAAAACATCATCATCTTCATCTAAACCACTGTCAAATGGTTTGTCATCAATTTGGTGTTTTTTAAGGGGTGGGGGTGGAGCAGGAGGAAGAGTTCGCTCATGCTGCATCATTTTGGAGCTCTCCGACCATGCATAATTTCTAACCGATGACTGAGTAGTTGAATGCCCATCGATGCCGCTGTCGTCAATCTGAAGCGGAAACTTTCGTTCCCTCTTGGCACCAATGGGAGTTGAATGTCTTAATGGCATCCTGGGTGGTAATGGCAAGCTATTGCCATCTCCACTAATGCTGTTAGACCGGGGTGGTATAGCAGGGGCTCTAGTGGGACTTGGCAAGTTAGTAGCATCTCTTTCTTTAACATGCTGAATGGTCCCTGAATCAACGCTCATTGAGTGATGCAAAGTTGGTATCTTAACATGTAATTTAGAATTATAAGTTTTATGATTCATACCTTGACCAACACGACCTCCACGTATGGGGATAGCACCACCTCTTAACATTCTTAAAGGGTTAGTTTCCACATCTTCATCCCCACCGTTGGATGAGGACATAGCTCCTTTACCAGGAATACCTTGTGGTTCACGAATATTACGAGAAGGTCCTTCCTCACTACTGCCAATTACTCCTCTTTGATGATCAAGGGAGCGTCTAATTCTACTCTCCCTTGCAAGTTTGTTCATGATTTCACGAGGAGAAGGTTCAGAGAAATCCTCCCCAACAAAAAGACTGGTAGATTTATTGTAAGAATCATGACGAGAATCATCCTGACGATTCACTTCAGTAGCACTATTCACTGACTCAGTACCAGAATCAGTATGAACATTGTCTGAATCAGGTTCATCAATCCTTAACACTTCTACATTATTTTTAATGTCTTCAGAGTCACACTCTGATGTTTGTTCACTAGAAGTGTCTAAAATTTTAGGTCTATACTCATCCTCTGGCAGTTTTACTTTCAGATCATATTCCTGTGGAATTTCTGGCGGTGGTTTTTGTGGACGAGGCACAGGTTCTACTCTCTGTATTATTTCTGGTCTGGGTTTTGGTGCAGGAATTGGTATTTCAGATCGTTTGCTGTCAGGTCGTGGCTTTGGAACTGGCTTCTGATGATAACTCATCTCTGTAAATTGATTGAAACTCATTTCAGGTGGTTCTAAATCAAAGTCATCTATCATTGCAAGAGGCACTCCATATGTACTATCTTGATGTACAGGAGTAACCTCCCTTCTTTCTGGTGTAACTTCTCTTTTAATAGGAGTTATATCTCTTTTTGCAGGAGTTATTTCTCTTTTTGCAGGAGTTATTTCTCTTTTTGCAGGAATTATTTCTCTTTTAACTGAAGTTATCTCTCTTCTAACTGGAGTTAACTCCCTTTTAACAGGAGTAACCTCTCTTTTAGGTGGAGTAACTTCCCTTTCTTCAGGTGAGTATGAAGTACCAGATTTTTCCTTAACAGAACCTCTCATAACTAACTGGTTATAAGCTTCCATTGCTCCAGGAGGAACATTTTCTACTTGATCTGCTTTATTTTTTATCTCCTCAGAGAAAGTACGCTGACGATCAAATTTAGGACTACGTTTAAATGAGAATTTAAATCTTGATCCATTCTGTGGTGATCCTGAATCACTTTCTGAATCCGACTGATATTTATCAGGCGATGAAGGTTCTTGTGATGTTGACATATGAGAACGAGAGCTTAATTCATTTGCCATGGCAATGGCATCATCTATCATTTTTTCATCAGATGCTGACATCGGTTTGACCTTGGCTTGTTTCCGTGGTTCTGGTCTAGGAGGCTCCTTACTACGGGGTTCCTGCAAGGCAAAAATTGAACATGCATAGTGATATATAAATAGAAACATGCTGTCTATAATAAAGATATTTTCATATACCCCAGATTTGATTATACTGAGAAAAGCTGAAGATAATTCTATAAGACTATAATAATTACCCTATATCCCTTTTCTCCTAATGAGAATATACAATACTTATATGTGAATGTATGAGTAAATACAGGCCCATAGCCAGGAATTTTCAAGTGGGGTTACATCGACTCGCAAAGTCAATTTCAAAGAAAATCTAGACTTTGATAGTCAAAGTTCAAACAAAATCTCAACTTTAATAGTCACAGTTTCAACAGAACGTTGACTTTCATAGTGCTTATTTGCTATCAAAGGGGGGGTTTGTACGAACCCCTGGAACCCCCTGGCTACGGGCCTGAAACGCTAGGATATCTATTTCAAATTCCTTATTTTTTCAATCTGTCTAGGAAGTGAATAGAAATTATTTCTGTATACCGGTATTTTTACTGTAATTTTGTAGAAACAAATGTGTTTTAATGTCTCTGAAAAAACATTATTTGAAATACTTCAGTGATTAACACATGGTCTCCATTCATTGACTGTTTGTGTAGGTTGATTGTTCCTTCTATTTCATTGAAGGTTGTAATTCCTTAGTGAATGAAAAAGTTGCCCACAATGAATTGAGCAACTGCAACAATGCCATGCAGAGAGATCACAGTTGAATATTTTTTGTGCTTGTCTTTTTTAAAGTGTTTTTTTTTCTTGTATTATAGCAAATTAAAGAGAAATATATGTTTCATTCCATATAGTTCAACGAAACTTAGCAAAGAAGAAAGAATAAACAGTTATAGATAGGAACAGGAAGTAGAATTATAGACAGACATACTAGTCTAGGTGGCTGAACAGGAAGTGGTGGTGGTGGTGATTTTGATCCTCTTCCATTCATCATCAGTTTAGGAGGTGATTCATGTTGAGGTGTTGTAGTTGCAGATGAATCATTCGAAGATGAGTTTGCCAACTTTGCCTCTTTGTCATTTATTGCTTTTAATACTTCATCCATAAATGATGGTCCGAAATCAAAAGAACTCTGAAAAATGTCCAATTTTTTTATTATTACACATGAATATGAATTAAAAGAGATATGAGGTAAACATCAGTCAGACAGCAATCTAACAAAAAATTAAACCAAAAAACAAAAAGATGTGAAGGTCAGTGAAACTTCTTTAATGATAGACCATACCATAACTCTGCTTTAGCTGAACAAAGATAAATTTTGAGGGAATGTCTATTTATTTCATATTAAGCATTTTCTATAATCAAAATAGCGGTATTTTTCACAGCATCAAATATGTTGGTTTTTTTGTGTGTTTAAATTTATGATAGACAAATGGAAAGGTTTGTGCATATAACACTGGTTTAACCCCAGCATTTTTTGCCTGTTCCAAGTCGGCTATCTGGATTTTGTGTCTTTCATGGTTGCAAGTTTTTCTAGGAGTCTGTGCTGGTGGTTTGTGTGGTCTGTTATTTCATATTGTTTAAATTTTCCTCCCAGTTTTTCATTTGATCTTTAATGAATACAAAATTAATTACTTAATTATTCAGTTAAAATATTAAAATAAACTGTTAACACAGAGATATGTCTCGCCTATTTGTTATTTTGATAATGCAAATGTTGAAATTAAAATTACAATACTTTAACATGGAAGTTATGCAAAAATTCAAAGTCAATGAACCATGACTGAATGTACAGGGCTAAACAGTCTCCATGGAAATGAGATGTGCCAATGCTAATACAACTGCTAACCAAATACCATTGACTTTTCATAAGTCGTTCCCTTTAAAAAAAACCTAAACACAAACATTAACTTGTAAACTATGTAAAAGTTTCAAAGTCAATGAACCATAATTAGGGGGTGGGGTTATATAATCTCCATGGAAATGAAACTTGCAAATGCCAATACATTTGCATACCGAATATCATTGACTTAACATTAGTGGTTCATCTTAAACTGACCTAATCACAAACTAATACATGTAAACTAAGCAAAAGTTTCAAAGTCAATAGACCATGACTGAGAAGTAAGGACCAAATATTCTCCATGGAGATAAGATGTGCTAATGCTTCTACAACTGCATACCAATTATCATTGACCTACCACTAATGGTTCCCCTTAAACTGACCTAATCACAAACTAATACCTGTAAACTAAGCAAAAGTTTTAAAGTCAATAGACCATGACTGAGGGGGCGGGGCCAAATAATCTCCATGGAAATGAGATATGCCAATGCTTATACAACTGCATACCAAATATCATTGACCTACCACTAGTGGTTCCCCATAAATTGACCTAATCACAAACTAATACATGTAAACTAAGCAAAGTTTCAAAGTCAATAGACCTTGACTGAGGGGGTGGGGCCGAATTATCTCCATGGTAATGAGATGTGCCAATGCTAATACAACTGCATACCAAATATCATTGACCTACCACTAGTGGTTCCCCATAAACTGACCTTATCACAAACTAATACATGTAAACTAAGCAAAGTTTCAAAGTTAATAGACCTTGACTGAGGGGGTTGGGCCAAATAATCTCCATGGTAATGAGATGTGCCAATGCTAATACAACTGCATACCAAATATCATTGACCTACCACTAGTGGTTCACCATGAACTAGACCTAATCACAAACTAATACATTGTTGACGCAGCCGCCGCCGCTGACGCTGGAAACAGCATACCTATGTCTCGCTTTTTGACTCCGTCAAGGCGAGACAAAAATAATAAATTAAGTGAACAAATGAATAAAAGTTCATATGATTCCTGTAAGATTTTTATGACACATAGACTGTTAGACCAAAGGTATATATGTATGCCTTATTTTTTCATACCGAAATGTCAGGCATTTTGAAGTCAGCAAATATAGAATCGTCATCTATATCTTGATACTGGAAATCTCCACTGTCTACCTCATCTGTCCTGGTTACAAACTGACTATCTATAGATTCCTGACTTATCCATGAGTGACCATTTGTACCCAGAGATCCATTCATATTATGTCCATTTTCATCTCGATTTAGACTCACTGTTGATATACGACTTTCACCTTCTTTCCCTGCAAGATAGATTATAATCGTAATTACTTCCTATAATTGTAGTTACTTCTTTCCTTTGGAGTATGTATTCAGAATGTTTGTTCTTGATTTGAACATCCATAAACTTGACCCACCCAAGATTGACATTTATGCAATTTTTTTTTATAGCATTTTCAAATTGACATATTTTAACAGGGAGGTCTTGTTTTTCTAAACAATACATGAAAATCTTTTTTCCAGTAATCCTAAATTTCTCATCTACATTCTTCACAGTTCGATATTTATTTTGACCCCTACATTTTGTACAAAAAATCAAGAGAAAATGAGTAATTACTGTTTTAGGGCCCTCGTAAATCTGTTACACATTTTTTTAAATCTGTCATAAATCAGATGCAGACCTATTCCAAACAAAGACTATCATCATATACAGACACATTCTCAACAAGGACTTTCTCAGTAAAATATTTTAGTTTTTTCTGCACATTACAAATGTATAAAACAGTTTTAATGAAATAAATAGTTGTTATATAGTTTTGCCAAATCTTCATACAAACCTGTACTAGCTACTTTGACTGGCAATTTGTCGTAATTATCACCAATGAAACCAACATCACCGAAAATAGCACCATCATAACCAATATGTCCTGTGTGACGAAGATCATTCTGTGGACCACTGATCATCTCGGCATTGAACTTCCGTAATGACTTCCTGTTTGACTCTGCAATAAATAAATGGTCAATTATAATATGTTATGAAGGTTTTTTTCATTTAATTGCTAGAAATCAAGTTCCTGAAAAATAAAATGTGAACTAAAAAGAAAAATTGCTATATAAAGAAAGTAAAATTTTATTTGAAGAATATCCAATGACATGTTTTTAACAGAAATAGGATGAAACTGATTAAAATATCTTTGTGTTTATCAAAATTTCAATTTAAACAAAATGTGAACAAAAAAATCCTGTAATTGCTTTTAAAACTTATTAAACAATGTGTTAGCATGGATTGTGTAATTGCATATTTCTGTGTATTATTTAAGCAAGTGGCCATTCCTATACACTGGAAGCAATATTTGTGGTACAATACCTTTAAACCTGTGTCATATAATTATACATGTGTATCATATTTATGAAAATATCGAATAAATACATATGTGGTGTTTACAGCTTTTACAGTAGATATAAAACATATGACAATTTTCTATGAAAATATCAAAATGACTTGGTATAAAATGTAATCTGGTAGTATTTACAATTACAGGTCTAAGTACATAGAATTGTAATAGACTGTTTACAATGATACAAGTGTATCTGTAATGCTGACTGTCTGTGTAAACTATATCCCTTTTAGGGCCGAAGACTTTGCTTGGCCTAGACATGTGTCCAGATTACACAGGTTTAATTGCTACAGAATCTTCTTACTAAAAGAGATCAGTTTACACAGGGTTTAGATTAGCTGGGTTTCACTGTTTTTAAAAATACTTCTCTAAAAAAAGTCTTTAATACATGAACAATAGTTAAATAATTGACATGTTCAAATCTCTGAGTACAGGATAAATCTTGTATAAAACACTGAACCTGAAAGGAACCTGTTAGTTTGGAAAAGGTCAAGGGTCTAATATAGGGTTCACTCCATTCTAACGTAATTAGTAGAACAGCATGAAGCTTATTTTAGCTCACATAAATTTATTATAATCAGTTGCATTTAGCATAAAGCTCTTTTTTTTTATTGTAAGTGTACTTCCAACATGTTCCTAATTGGACATAAGTTCTGTCCCTTCTGTAAAATATTTGATATCCAATGACCTATAAATTTATTGTTAAAGGAATCTAAATAGTTTAAACCAAAACCAAACATGTACTAACCAATATTCTTGCAAGTATTTAATTATATCAAGAACTATTCAAACAAATTCAGGAAAATCTAATATAAAGTGAATGGAATCGAGCTGTTTCATAAAAGCAATTTCAACACCTTACAAATCTTTAATCAGCTCTTGATAAACCTGTAAAATTGAAATTACCAGTGGCAAGAAATTGGTAAAAAAGTCATTTGACCTCTTTGTAGGTTAATCTGCATTGAACCACATGCCTGCTGGTGATATAATTTCTATCTATTCGAGTGTAGGCCCTGCGAACTGAGGATCTATTAAAGAGCTGTGACCAAGCTCTCTTAATGGAGACATCTACAATCCAAGTATCTAATCAAGAGCTCAGGCTCTAACTTCTTTAGGATCTTATCTGGTTATCTTAAGTGATATTTGATTTTTTGGCGTTATGTGATAAGCCATAAGCTGTTGTCAATATATTGTTATAGCCACACTACACATCTATTTTTCCCTTCTCCCTTCTTACCTTTTTTACCCTTTTTGGGCGATTTTTCTTTCTTGTCCGATTCTATAAATAGCATAACCAATCAAATTGTAGAAACACAAAAAGATTTAGGCATAACTGGGGTCTATTGTATTAAATATGGGTTAAATTACAATAAGATTATTTACTACAAACTTTCTTGCAAATAAAATCTAAACAAAATAAGATAAAAGTAAAAATAATTTCAGGAATTATTGATTTCTTATTATAATATTTATTTCATATTTTGCGATCCTGTAAAATTTGCCACTTTTTTTACAGCTTTTTTTTTTCTTGTTTGCATTTTCAAAGATTGTAGTATATAACTGCATAATTTAACTCCTCTATCTAAAATATATTTAATGTTTAAATATGTAAAACACTAAACTACCTGTAGTATCTTTTTTAACAGAAATGTAAATTTAGGACTCTGCATGCTGGCATAGTTTTATCATATGTCTAGTTGTGGCTCTCTGCCAGCATGCAATATGTGCTCTTGTGCTGAAATAAATACTATTATAAAATGCATATACATCAAGCAATGATATGATTCTATTCTACAGTATAAATAGTAAGTCCCTAAATTCCCAGTTTATAAAAAGAAGAAAAGAAAACTTCTATGTACAATATAAGAAATTCAAAGCAGAGTAAAAATTGAAGGATATCTAGTAATATTCCTATTCATCTAACTTCCTTTTCTAAATACTTTAGAAATTTAGCTTGCAGTGAAACCAAAAACAAATTGGTAATAAATACAAGAAATAATAAAAAGCCAATATTAGTGTTATGAAAGAAACAATTGAATGTAAAAGAGTAAAAATTACTAATGTAAATAAAGATGATAGAAAGGCAAAAATATTCATAACAATTACAGATTATTATTTTTATAAAATCTTTTAAATGATTTTTTTCTGGGTATGAAAGCAAAAATAAGTTAACTCAAAGGACAGTTACATCTGATAAATTAATGGAGCGAACAATACCATTGGCTTAATGAAAGTAACCCGGACTGATATTTTTGACTCTCATGTCTGGCTTCAACTTAAGGATTTACTTAGGTGAAATTTTAAAAATCTAGAATTTAAAATTGATACTATAAGTCAGAAGAGCATTAGTTAAGGAACAAAATAAGCTAAAAATATTGATAGGTTATGGAGCTCCTTTTCGAGATATTTAATTTAAAAAAAATGGCGGGAAAAGGCTGACTCTGACTTTTACCTTATATTTGCATTGGTATTATTTGGGTCTCAAATTGAAGGAAAAGAAATCTAAAATCTGCTTAAATTTTGGTAAATGACCTTTTATGAGCTATTGAAGTCTTATATGAAAAGAAAAATGGGTGTTATTGGGCAAAATATTTTACCCTGGATCGTAGGAAAAAAACCAAGGAGTCCGAATATCTGACAAAAATTCCTAAACCTGACCTAAGTACATTCTTAAAGAAGATTCCTTTTTTATATCGGTATCTTTTTTAAAATCAGTTTTGTGATTAAAGCATGAATATGATTTGCAACATTATCTAGCATTTTGGTTTTTGTTCTTACCTTTTCTTACAAGTTTGACCATACGTTGGTCTGAATCAGCTTTTTCTTTTTTAGAGTCTACATGAAAAAATGACTATTTATTTAGGGTTTCTAAATGGAAATCTAACCAATTTCATGAAGATAATAAAAGAATATCAAATATGTTCTTTCAAAAATATATTAATCAGGAGTGAGACATCATAAATAAGAATGAAAAGGTCAATTAAAAAAATAAAATAAAAACAGTCATATCTATATATGACTTATGAACGATTTAAAGACTTAAAATTTTCTACTAAAAGAAGGATAACTCTAACATTAAAAGTGTCATCAAGTAACAAGTGCTCTGAATTTTTAGATCTCAAAAGTTTTTAATGTGTACTTTAATCCCCTTACTTTAAAGGAGCTTTTGGCCTCAAAAGATCTATATAATTTCAAAAATTTGGCCATTTTCATTTAAATTGTGTTTCCAGTATGGTAAGCTGGGGATAAAAGCAAGATGATGATTTGCAACATTTCCTAGCGGCTTTTTCTTACCTTTCCTTGAAAGTTTGACTTTAGGTGTGTCCAATTCTTTTTCCTTTTTAGAGTCTATATGAAATAAGGATATTTTGTTTTTCACTTTTGGACTGATTTTTTGATAACCATTCACACAAAAAAAAACATGTAACAATGAATTTACCAAATTTTAATTATCATTGAAAAGTAAAGTTAAGTTCTATATTCTTTCCCTGTTATACGAAATACATAATATCTGATTTCTGTTGATCAAAGTTCACTTCAAAAATGTTAAACTTAGAAAAAAGTGATATCAAAATTAAAGCTAATATGTATTACTTTGTGAAAAGTGGTGTGTGAGAGCTTACCTTTTCGACTGAGTTTAATTTTAGGTGTGTTTGATTCCTGGTTTTCTCTTTTAGAGTCTATGAAAACAAAGGAGTGCAAATTCACACAAAAGAAGCAATACTTTACAAACTAATAAATAATCTTGCTTATAAAAGCTCAAAACACTTCATTTTGATATTTAGTTCTCTTCTGATAATACATTAGATAAAGCAATATATAATATGGAATCACCTCCCTAATTTTAGGGAAATCCTCAAATATAGAAAAGTCTGTTTCACTGGTTATCTTTATTGTTAGATACATTTCATTTAAAGAGACATACAAAAATATTGAACAATATGGCAAAAAATGCTATTACAATGACCATAAAATTGGACATGTTTCCAGCCAATGATCAAAATCTGGTCAGATTATTTCATGAGCCAATAAAATATTAAAATCTATTGAATTCAAATTTGTACATATCCACCGACTTTACTCCAGTAAATTTGTTTAAAATTTCCTCTTACGATTTTGATTACAAACACTTTTTTTTTAATAGCTTGAATAACTATCCGACTAGATTTTATCAGTGGCATGTGAATTTTCTGTAGTGTACAAATCTTTCAAAAACATTATCCATGGCATCAAGTCTAATACTTTTCCTTAAAATTTTTAAAAACAAGCAAATTAACAAGCAGGAAGTAAATTAAAAGAGACGACAGAGGATATAATTAATGCTGAACCTGTTCTACCCATTAGCTTGTTAGGATAAGAGTGTGGATCTTACCTTTACGACTTAGTCGTATATTAGAGAAGAATGAACTTCCACTCTCTCTTTTAGATTCTAATAGAAATAATGGGAAATAATAAAGTTTATTTCATCTGATTTCAAAATCTAAATGAAAAGTTATTAAACTCATAAAAATAAAATTGTCAAAAATTCTTGTACATTAATTCTGAAAATCTTCTACTTGTATATTCTTATTCAAAACAAATAACAAAATTTGAAATAAACTGTACAATGTGTTACATAAAACTAATAAGAACATTTGTTGCATATAAGCATTGCTAAATTGTACTTCCTGGTTTAAGATAAGAAATTGAAAATCTAGAAATATTTTAGATTTAATATTAAAAGTAAAAATTTTAACTGACTAAAATCATCACTACTTATAAAAGAAAGAACAGAATTTAAGCAAAGAAAAGATCACCCCTATTTTTGACAATATTTTCCGAAGTGATTTTAAATTGCATTTAGTAGTTACATAAAAAGCTGACAAGGTCGATGACAAGCGAGAAAGAAAGATTTGTTAGACATAGAGGCTTACCTTTACGTGCTAGTTTTATTTTTGCATCACCATTTTCCCGTTTTGATTCTAACAAAAAGTTTATACATGTCAATTAAACTAACTACCCACACAAAATATTAATGGTTTAATCTACAACATATAAAAATAATCTTGTCGAAAACTGTATATTATTTTACAACAAAAATTCTATTAAATTCTGGAAACTACATGCTGCAGTTCTTTGATCTTGACCTAAATTGATAGTCCGACTAGGGCACACATAAACTAACCAGATGTATATATAAGTAAAGGTAATAGCTGAATCAACTATTTCTAGTGGAGATTTATCCCTATTTTTTTTTTTATAATTCAGACTTCCATAATGCATTCACCCATATCTGGATTATTTCAAAAATTTGGGAAATTGCGTTTTCATCAAGTTTTAGTCCCTGTCTGGTAGTAAATTTGGTACTGTCACTCCTGTTTCAGACCTAGTTGATCTATCCAATAAACTAATAAACAGAATAACAGTTCTAGTTCAAAATTATAAATTACAGAAAATACGAAACACACATGCAAAAATATCTACTCCTGGACTATGAGGACACCATGTACTAAAAAAAACTTCAAAATTTTTTATCAATTGATGTAAAGAAAACATTTTTAAGGCAAAAATGTATATATATTTTTCATTTCTGATTCTCTTTAACAAAAACACTATTTTTCAACATAATTATGTTTTTTTACAATAAATTTTTATAGGTTTTTTTTGGGAGCACTTCTTTTATTTTTAAGGTCTGTAGTACCAGCTAAAATTTCCCTTTTCAATGTTACCAAATTCATTTAATGATATAATAGACTTCCTTGTATCCATGACTACTGAAAACATGGAGATTAACAGGTCAAATGTTAACCACTGATGACAACATCAATGCCATGTTACTATAGAGATGCAGTCACCTCATCACACCTGTACAACTCACCTTTTCTGTTGATACTTTTTGACACACTAGGACTATTCTTGTGTTCAATTATTGGCATAGCATTAGCTGGATCAAAATATCCACATTTACCATTTCCAAGTACCCCCTTCCAGAATCCTGGCTTCGGACAATCTTCTGGGCTGAAAATGAACATCATCAAGTAAGTAAATGTTATTCCTTAAAACCCTTTCCACAAAACTGTCCTGGGAAAATATTCTAGATTGTGACAGGAAACCCTTTTAATATGTCACAATAATTTGCTCTATTAAAATTTGTACTTTTCAACTCAAGACGTTTCCGTACCACATGAAAGACAAGTTTCCAATTTTCTTCATGAATGAGCTGCCCTGGTTAAAGTGGAATCATTTATGGGTATCATTGTGTATGCACTCGTCCTCAGCCTACTAGCAAATGTTTGTCTACAGGAATGAAACTCCAACTCGATCTGTAAGTCATCATTATATGCTTATAAACACAAAAAAGCTTAAAATGAGAAGGCATTATCAAAAAAGCCTGGACAAATAAAATTATTTTCATGAAATTTTATACGTAAAACCCGAACAGAAGATTATCATATAGTAATATACCAAAAGTAAGATCCATATCTGTTTAAATTACATTCTTTTTAATATTCTACACATGTGAAAACTTCTAAAAATTCTTTATACTATAACTTACTTTTTATCTAAAACATATATGACATCATATGATTTATAATACAGGAAGTCCTTAGGTACAACGACTTCTGGGAAATCTTTCATAGCTTTAACTTGGACAGGTCTCATCTGTAAAATAATCAGAACAGGAACTCATAAATTATCTAACAATCTCACAATTTTTCCCGACACACATGTAATTTTTGAGTAACAATATGTAAATTTCATGTTTTTTTTTTATTTTCGCGAGACAATTTTCTTTTCTGCATTAAAGGTATGTCTGTGCTACACAAAAACTGTCATAGAGATCTAGGGTCTTTTGATGTAAGGTCCTTAGGTCATAATGAATAGGAAATTGAGTTCAAGGTCATAAATTTTGAATTTTAGAAAGTTATGACTTGAAGCAGCTGGAAATGCTCTGGTGACTTTTTAAAGAAGTTTTCTTCCCTTAAATATTAAATAAAAAACAGATAATTTCTTAATCATACATAATGGTCTTTTGGTTTGCAATCCTTGATCTTTGACCTTGGAATTTGAGGTCAAGGTCAAATTGGTGTTCTAGATTTTGACCTTTACTATATGTTCATATTGGTACTAATGTATTTTGTATTGTTTCTGACCTCATAAAAGAAAATAAATCCAAAGAAAATAATTTCAGTGGGTGTGTGGAGGGCCTACCTTTGATTGCCCAATAAATTATTATATCATGTTTTTTCACAATTTTTATTTTTTTTTTAACATAAAATTGTTCAAAATTTGTTTCTCCTTGTTTTGCTCGGCAGTATATACTCAGTTTTATGGAATTACGCCCCCCTTTCAAAATTTATGGATCCACCCCTGAATTTAATTGTTATTTCAATAACCTTGAAAAGTGTCATGTTAGTTATTTCAACAGCCTTGAGAAGTGTCATGTTGTTGTTTAACAAGAGAATCTGAAAGTCTGATGCATCTGTGCCTTCATGCTAACTCAGTTTTTGGACCTTTTAAAGGGGCATTAGCTGTCAAATTCATGTTCACCGATTTGATTCAGATTCTCATATTTGATTCATAACATACTAAAACATGTATCCAAATTACAAAAAGTCTAAAATAAACAACAGTGCAGCGACTCGATAATATGTATCAACATTTTGTGTGTATTTTTGTCTTGACGTCATCTAATTATCCATCAAGATGACCTCTGAGACTGCTGACAGTCATATCACCCGATATAATCAGAACTATAAATAAATAGCGACCACGTGCAATTGAATGTTTCTAGGTCTGTTTGATTTCATATTGTTGGTTATATTTCATTCTTTATATATCTAGTAGCTAATGCCGTTTAAAGTGTTTGTAACCTAAATTTTCTGTTTTTCATGCCCATTTGGGTTCTTTGCAATACATAATTATTAGACTTTCTTCAAACGAAAATGGCATTCCTCTAACAGCTGTTTGTTTGACCTACCTGAGGTAACATTACAAATAATTCACTGAATAATGGACGTCTCTCTGGATCATGTTCCCAACATTTGGTCATTATCTGGTAGTATTCTTTAGGACATAAATCTGGTCTCTCTAATCTTTGGCAGTTTGGTGCATCTATTGATTCTAATATCTATAAAGAAACATAAAATAAATAAAGAAATTTAATAGAAATGTGATCAAACTGATTTTTAGTTTGTTCTTATGTTGTACTGTTACACCACTGCCCCAGGTTGGGGGAGGGTTGGCACCTTTAAACTAGTTGAACCCCGACACATTCTATATGTGCCTGTCCACGGTCAGGAGCCTGTAATTCAGTGGTTGTTGTTTGTTGCTGTTTATCATATTTGTTTTTCGTTCATTATTTTGTACATATATCAGGCCATTAGTTTTCTAGTTTAAATTGTTTTACATCATTTCTGGGCCTTTTATAGCTGACTATGCGGTATGGGTTTTCCTCATTGTTGAAGGCAGTACGGTGACCTATAGTTGTTAATGTCTATGTCATTTGGTCTCTTGTGGAGAGTTGTCTCATTGGCAATCATACAAAATCTTCTTATTTTTATAAATCCTACAAATGCTGTAGATTCATTATCATTCGTGGGAAACCAACATTTATAGATTTCGTGGGTATAGGTTAACTATGAATACAAATGGTTAATATAGTAGAAATTTCCTTTTGGCTTGTATGCTCCAAAGTTGTTAATCTAGTGCAAAAAGTATCAATTTTGATGATTTTTTTGTCCTATTTCTTGACCTGGAAGACCAAGGGATGCTAATAGATGTATCTCATTGTAGTCTGCATGTAGAGTGGACCCTTGTGAGCACATTTACAACAAAAGTACTTAGGTCCTATTGAAACTTATTTTGGTATGGCATTCTAAATAAGGTCATTTCCATAAAAAAAAAAACAGGAATTTCGTTGGGTTTATTCTATTTTTGGATGTTTAGGCCTCTGTGCTGCTTGTGCCAGACACAGAAAGAAAGCCAACCCCTCCAAAAAAAAACAGTTTTATCCAATTTCAATTTTCGAAGTTTGTATCTGAGCTGAAACTGCACCTTTAATGTTAGAAATTTTACTATAAATAGCCCTAGGAAGAGGGAACATACATTGATTTCGAAAATACATATCATACAGTTGACCTGTAAAAGTTACAGAGCCATTGGAGCCAAAAACGCAGGGTAAGGGCTACTAGTACTAAGGATTTCAATTTCATTTCTCAAGAAAATGAACCTGATGATCAATGCCTCTGGGGCATACAAATCTTGTTATATACATTCTGAATTTTGTGTGTTTCTATTTTTATGGTAAATACTGTCTTTTGCAATCCCATTAAATCCATCCATTCTTGAAAATACTCCAGCAATAACTTTTTTAGTTAAAGAGCTAAATTCATCCTTAATAATGCTAAAAACTCTCTTATAAAAAATACAATTGATAAATTAGTGTTTTGCTTGTTGACACAATTTATGATCTTTATATGGAATCTTTTCATAGAATACTGTCCTAAACTATTATCTTGGGTTAAAAGCATAAAACTCTATGATGTCACTTACTTGTTGACCAGTTAATCCTGCCCATGGCTGGAACCCGTATGTAAATAATTCCCATAATGTAACACCAAATGCCCAAATATCACTGGCTGAGGTGAATTTTAAATAATTTATACACTCTGGTGCACACCTAAAATAGAAATCAGGTATTGTTCATGTTAAAAATTTTCTTTGAACATCTTACATAAGCAACTATCAAAATTGAATTTCTGTTTTAGTAATAATCTGTAAACAAACTAACTTTAATGATTTTGGCAAGTAGAAAAATATAAATATAAATACTTGCAATTATATCAGATTCGGCTTCAGGAGTAAACACGAAAAATAGGTATCTGTTAAAATTAGTTGGTTAAGAGTTGTCAATGGTCATCTTTTTTTTATACATTATGTGATTTTGTACTTTAAAATAATAAGATTTATTTTATGTATTTTAAAGAAATGCTGTACACATTTGTAAAACTAGTTATAACCAACTCATCAAATGCATTGTAGATTTATATTTCAAAAGTTTTGTAAACATTCCCATTTTGACAATTTTATTTTTGAAGTAAGAAAGCAAGAAAGTGATAAATGAATGGTAGATGTAATCAATGTTTCTACTTAATAGGGGTAGTTACACTTTTGGGTATTTAGCTATTTGTCTCTAAATTACCCTAGATCTGTCTCCGAATAACCTTCGGACGTCATGCAATAATCACTTTTAATTATTGCAATAACATTTTTAAAATTGTCATACAATAATTTGCTTGTCTCACATTTTTTTTCAAAGAATCTTAAAACATGATGACATCAAGGAGTTTTGATTTACTATTTCTGTTATGTCTGTTTTTAAATGGTCTTGACATTTCATGATATTATTTATTTTGTGTCTATAAAGCACAGAAAAGTTCATATTATCTCCCTTATACCAATGACTGTGGATATATATCTAACTTACCAAGCTATAGGCAATTTCAAGTTTAGACTAAAATTACTTTGATAGTAATCTTTACCAACACCTAAGGCTCGAGATAATCCAAAGTCACTTATTTTTACCTGAAAGAAATAGAAATGTCATACAGTACAAAGATGGCAAGTTCATCTGATTGAATATTTCTTCATATGATTTTAACAACATATATTTATGTATCTTTTCTCTCCAATCTAAATTGACTAGATTGCAAGTTTTCTTGCAGAAAAATTGGTGGTTCTCTGAGGGTACTCTGGCTTCCTCAGTCATTAAAAACTAGCTGTCATGAAACTGCCAAAAATGATGAAAGCAGCATTAAAACAAACAATCAATCAATGAATATATCTTTTTTGCATTATATATTTTGCGATTTCATGTATATATGAAATACCATCTGTTTTAATTGGACAATTGCTATGTTTAAGAAATCTCATTCCAATGCATGAAATAGTACATTTCTATAACAGCTTGCAGTTTTAAAGACTTCCATTTCAAATGACAAACATTGCTAGATATTTTATTGCTGGGACTGAAAACCACAGGATTTTACCGTGTCCATCAGTTGTTGACTCTAAATGATACTGGTAAGTTGTATGGAATGTTTGTGTAAATAACAAAATGAACTGTGACTATTTATCAGATTGGAATATGAAGCTTGTTGTTAATAGCTAATGCATAACTGTGCTGCTGTAAATCTTTTATTTTTCTGTCACAAATTGTTTTCTAGGGAATAATGTTGATTGTTCAAAAACATAACAAAACGATCAAAAAGTTATTTTTCTGTCACAAATTGTTTTCTAGGGAAACATATTGATTGTTCCCAAACATGTCAAAATTACCTTCATCACATTTCTTATCTTTAGTGGCAATAGTGAAATAAATTAGCAAACATAAAATCTAAGACTTAATGTTGGGGAAATAAAAGAGTTATCTTACCTTAGATTTACTAAAAACCAATATATTTCTTGCAGCTAAATCCCTATGAATTAAACGTTTACTTTCTAAATAACTCATTCCATCACAAATTTCTTGAGCAAAATCACAAAGTCTTGGTAAAGGAAAGTCAGTTCGTAATGATTGTTCTTTTAGGCACTCTAATAATGATCTCATTGGAGCTAATTCTGTTACCTGTAAGATATAAAATGAAAAAAATAACTTCAAGTCATTTGATGATTCCATTCTTGTTTAGTTGGATAAACAGATGTCTATGCTTAAGTTCTATGTTTGTTTTTACTTTCAGAAATCATAAGCCAATGCTTAACTGCAGGCCTCTACAATAACTTTTTTTTCAACTTGCCCAATAGGACAAGTACACATCAAAACTTACTTGTCCGAATGAAATTGTAACTTGTCCAAAAAAAAACTTAATATTAACCAAGGATTTGTATAGTGAGAACACTATACAAATCCTTGTATTAACCTTTTTTGCATTTTAAGTTGATTCAATGAACATAAGAATAGAATTTGATTTATATCTCTTGATATCTATTTCAAAAATATGAGTCGAGAACAACTGAATCAAGTCATGTCACAGGATTTAGGTTCTAGTTTTCATCAATGCCAAAGTCTCATCAGACTCTACACATGAGGCACAGTCTGGTAGGCCTGTCAGTCTACACTCATTTGGTTTGTATCCTGGTCTTTCATGTTGGTAAAATATTGATTATTATGATTAATGCCTTACAACAAACAGCTTTGTTTTTAATATATTAAAATGTTTATTCGAACACAATCAAGTATTGTTTTGTCTACATATGATCAAATACGATTCTGTGAATTTTATGGTCAATAATTTCTTCATTTTTTATTTTAAAAAATATTTTTGTTAAATAAAATTTATCATATTTATTATAAGCAACAGAAAAGGGTAGGGAAATGAGGTACTGGTTGGCTTGGTCCCGAAATGTCTCCTACGGTGCCATACTGTCTATTAAACATGGAAGGATTGGTCTCCGTGCCGGTGCCGAACTGTCTTGTTACCTTATCTACCAAGCGCATTCTTGATTTCATCTAAGACTGGTTTCCGAGAATATTACGCGTTTTATCTGTTATAAAGTATCTGTCAAAGAACCAGTTTTAAATTATCGATTGCAAGTAAACATGGTAAACATGTCAAATTAATATTTGTTTTTATCTTTTCTTGTTTTTTGCTTATTACTCAATACTTTGTTCATCAAAGTTGGATTTAATTTATTTTCTACAAAATGATTTTACTTGTCCTGTCGGACAACCTTGATCTAGCTTTTACTTGTCCGACCTTTTTTCCTCTGGTACCGGACAATCGGATAAGCGTTATTGTCGAGCCCTGAACTGGAATGTGATAATTGTTTCTTAATACTGTTTTTGATACTTTCATACAATATCAAAGTTACATTATCATTTGAAATAGATGGTGCTATATTTTTTATACTGCAATACTTTAACAGTTTGGTATGACAATTTAAAGCTTACTACTGGTTTTTATCAGTGTGGGTAATAAATAGAAATATCTAGCTTAAAACATTTGAATAAAGTGTAATATCTTTTATTTAACCTTGGCATTGCATAACAAAAGAGCTCCCTATTTTGGAAATTCCGCTTATCATCAAATATCCTATAATAATTAGTAGCACACACATACATTTTAGTATTTTTCTGTTTTACTTTAACTTTAGTTTTTTAGTATAAATATTTATCTTTATATGTTTCTGTCATCATTCTTCATTTAGAGAGAATGGCAATTTCCTGACATATAACTATATCCCAAAACAAACTGATTATGACTGCAAATCTAAACATTCTGCATACCGTAGAAAGGCTTGTATAGTCCGCGGTTTTATTCTCCAAAATTGGACCTTCCAGACGGGGTGCGGACTATAGAGTACAATAAGCAAGAAATAAGAGAAAAATTTCAATTTCGCGGTCGAGGTGGTTTGTTTACGTTCCGCCATCTTTGTTATTTCTATTGTAGAGGGCGCTCTTATCCTTTTTCAAACTAATAATTTTAACTCATCCATATTAATAAGTTATTTCTATTCAATATCAAATTAATACTGATAAATATAAAAACTAAACCTTTCATTACAAATTTCTCGTTTCTTTTCAATGCATTGGTTGAAATAAACTGGTATCTGCTTGATTGAAACGATACAAACATAGTGAAAAAGACAACCGTAAACCAGCTTAGAATTTGTAAACGACAAAACGTAATCGGTTATTGTTCGTTCCGTTTTGGTGTTTCATACTGATTAATATGGTTTGTATTAGCTTAAGACCCTTCAAACATTAATGTGATAGATATATTAAAGACTGTTTTACAAAAGGATGGAACAGTTTTACTTTCAAAGTCGTATTATAGTGATATCTGTTATGTACGGATTTCGACTCTCACCGGTTAATTTCTTCTTTTACACGTGCTTTTTAAACTTCCTGTTTAAACATACACAAGTTTCTAAATTGTTTTTTAAGTGAATTAAACTTATTTTTAACAATCATGAAGCGTTCTAGAATCATTTACAAGCAGTTTCAGCTTCTGTTTGATGATGGAAAACAGGTTTTTCCAAGAAAATACCGCAAACGACCGCACAGGATTTGAAATTACCGGAGTTTCATTAGACCTTTTCTAACAGTTACAAAAAGTTTTTTTACCTAAAATTTCGTGGGGAGAAGGGGGTGCGGACTATGTACCACTGCGAACTATACAAGCCTTTCTACGGTAGCCAAACAGAAACTTCCCAACCTTGGTTTAATCATTGGATGGTAATCAAGGTCGATACATTTCTATACCCACTCTACCCTCAGGTTTTACACTAGGGATAAGAAACACATCTTTGGTAAACCTACCAACATTAAGGAATCATCTTTATCTAATACAACACCATACATTCTAACAATATTTTCATGGTCTACATTCTGCATAATATTAGCCTCCTTTAAAAATTCTGTCGTTCCTGTGTGCATCTTTTCTTTTGTAAGGCATTTTATTGCAACTTGGACCTGAAATATCAAAAAAAATGTCTATATAGCGATTGCATTGTAAAAAACTCTTAATGTAATTGTACACATTTCCCTCAAAGCCAAGGGAAATATTTTATTTTGAGTTTCTTTCTTTTATTTGAATTGGTGCAATCATTTGCATTCCTATTACTGAGTGTGTTTACAGTTTTTTTTTGTGTCTAAAAAGACAGCGTAATGATCCTAGAACTGGATGGAAGGAAGGATGGATTGGTGTTTTACTTCCAGTGGCAAATATTACATGCATATCAGTACAAGAACAAGTTTATATTTCATTTCATTTAGTAACTGGGATATCAATTCAGGCTGTTAGTTTTCTCGTTTGAATTGTTTTACATTTGTCATTTCGAGGCCTTTTATAGCTGAATATGCAGTATGGGTTTTGCTCATTGTTGAAAGCCGTACAGTGACTTATAGTTATTAACTTCTATGTCATTTGGTCTCTGGTGGAGAGTTGGCAATTATACCCAATCTTCTTATTTTTATACAGTGTAATGTCATGTTGCCAATCAATACCGCTTAATAATAAAAATTCTTTATTCTTATTCTGTAGATGTGATATGACTATGAACCCTGCTTAGTACTAGACAGACATGGTATTTTAAACATGCTAATTCACACTTTAACAGTCCCCAGATAGTCCTCTTACTCAACCTGGACCAATATTATGACTCAGAGTCAGTCAACTAGTCTATGCTCTTAGGCCTTAATTCCACTCTTCACAAAGTAGCAGCAAATACCAACTTTCAAGTTTCTTGTTTGAACCAGCCTAGAATCACTCAAAATGAGTCTTCTACAAGGAGACTACTGAGTGCTGGTTATGAATGAGAGGGGGCAGTGTCCATCATTTAACAACGTCAAAGCTTTTTTTTCATTTTAAAGGGACAAACAATTATAAGCAATAATAATTATTTGCATGGCCTTATATAATATATTTATATGATCAGGTGACGTTTTAATGTTTGAATGAGGAAACACGAGATAACATATTGAATCATTCATTATTCTCTGATGGGATATGTGTGTTCCCAGCAAGTACAAATAACAAATGGCATTAAATATTTACTCATTCTACACAAATCCATGCACTTCATTTATATTTTCTAATGAAAAGTTTAAAAAAAACAGTAGTCAAAGTTCTATCAAAAGTAGAAAATAGGTATTTCCTGTCATTCATCTGTAAAATTAGTTTTTATCTACCAGTGAGAATTTACCATCATGATTATACAAAGGATGTCTTTGTTAGTAAGTTTATATTTCTTATCACATGTAACATGCAATCAAGATGATTCAACGGCAGTTGATACATTTTTTAAATAGAAAGACTGATTTTTTTATAGATGTTTTGATAGAATATCCTTTTTAGTACCTTAAGTGTATCTTCCAACAAGTTCTGCATGTCTGAAATTTTGTGGGGGTTTTAAAGCTTATCAATGTTTTAATTTTTATTCTACATAACTCTACTGAATCGTGTATTCTTTTTATAAATACCTCCCCCATTACCAATGCATCTTACTTTTTCTCCTGTCTCTGTAGTCCATAACCCTTGCTGTACAACACCAAACTCCCCTTCTCCAAGAGTTTTATTGATCTGGATTGAATTAGCAGGTATGATTTGTTTACAAGGAGGTCTGATGTAGGATGAAGGTCGAGGAGATCTTTGTTCTGGAGGTGATGGACTCAATGATCGTCCTATGTCTCCACCTGATCGAGTTAAAATTGCCTGGAAAATAAATAAAAAATTTGTAAAACATTGTCACCAGGATTTGAATGCTAGGCAAAGCCATATATATAAGTAGAGCCAGGGGTCTTAGGTCAGTAGTTAGGGCACAGAGTACTTGTGGCTGTATTCTTTGGAGTAACCACATCTGCCAGCTAACAACCTATGAAACTTTCTCCCAACCTACACTTTTTGGGTAGTTTTTCTTTGAAGAAAGACAAAAGCCATTGGTGGCCTTCGGCTGTTGTCTGCTCTATGGTCGGGTTGTTGTCTCTTTGACACATTCCCCATTTCCATTCTCAATTTTATTAATTCTGAGTATTTCAACATCTAAACAAATGGGAAGTACTATATTGTTAATATACATATACATATAGTTCAAATAGGTCAGTTATGTCTTTACATAAACATCCCAATACTACTGCATGGATCACTTTGGTTCATTAAGGGTGGTAAAGGGTTATTTTCATGCAACGTGTTTTGCCATTTTTATTTCACATGCAGCCTTGAAAAAGGTTTGTTATTCACCATGTTTCGTGAAATCGGTAAAAAGATCAACATGCAAGAAATTTTTAATTGTTCGTTCATTGTCCCCCCTTTACTCCCGTTTTAATTTATCCGCCATTTCTACTATTTACTAGGATAAACATTTATCTCTTCCCTTATTCACAAGTCAAACAAGACCAAAGAATAATAACAATTACCAGTCTATAAACAGTATCATTTTCTAGTGCTTATATAATTGGTCCAATTTACTGCTATTTTTATAGCTGCACAATAAATAAGATTATAGTTCTAGTCCAAAGTAGATGCCTACAGTATTTTAAGTACCTAATAACTTTATTTAACCTTTTTTAAATAGAATATGACCTGACAAGTCCACCTGTGTTGTGATAACAGGAAATAGTTGATTTTATAACTTATTAACTGTTATAACAAGATTGATCACTTAAACATCTTGATTTCATCAAAAGAATATTCTTCTTTGTGTGATGGAAAGGTCTTCAATGTTACTGACTAAAGTAAACTAGAAGAACAATGTTACTGACTAAAGTAAACTAGAGGAACATTGTTACTGACTAAAGTAAACTAGAAGAACAATGTTACTGACTCAAGTAAACTAGAAGAACAATGTTACTGACTAAAGTAAACTAGAGGAACAATGTTACTGACTGAAGTAAACTAGAGGAACAATGTTACTGACTAAAGTAAACTAGAGGAACAATGTTACTGACTGAAGTAAACTAGAGGAACAATGTTACTGACTAAAGTAAACTAGAAGAACAATGTTACTGACTCAAGTCAACTAGAAGAACAATGTTACTGACTAAAGTAAACTAGAGGAACAATGTTACTGACTAAAGTAAACTAGAAGAACAATGTTACTGACTCAAGTAAACTAGAAGAACAATGTTACTGACTAAAGTAAACTAGAGGAACAATGTTACTGACTCAAGTAAACTAGAGGAACAATGTTACTGACTCAAGTAAACTAGAGGAACAATGTTACTGACTAAAGTAAACTAGAGGAACAATGTTACTGACTAAAGTAAACTAGAGGAACAATGTTACTGACTAAAGTAAACTAGAAGAACATACTGTGGAGTCAGTATTACTTGTGGGATAGCAATTTTCATGGACTGCAGCACAGATTAAAATGTTCAATGAAGAACAAATTCTAAATAGGCTTGTATTCCGATTTTGTCAAAACCATGAAATGTAATATCAAAGACAATGCAATCTTAACTAAATCCACGAAAATTGGTATCCAATTAGAATAATTGAATCCAGAGTGGTTAAAATACCAAGGGTACAATCAAAAACTGTAAGTTGACAAAAGACTTAGAGAACACCACGGCCATAAAAAGATAGAAAGAAGAAGAAAATAAACAACTGTTTACAAAATGCGACATAGGGAATAAAAGATTAAGCAACACAAATACCACCAAAAACTGGAGGTGAATTCTGGTGCTCATGAAGGTCATCAGTTCCTGCTCCATCTATGGCACTCCTGGTGCTGCTCATGCCATGCAAAAATATGGTGCTGTCAAATTTAGTAAAAATGTAAACAAAAAAGGTAGATTAGGAAAAACGGCATCAAACTGGTTACATTTCAATGTTCCTTATCCAATTTACCTGACCTGTCCTTTGAATAACAATTATTATTATGTTGTCTAGGTCATAAATCAGATCATTCATTTTTTTAGGAAGCTTAATTAGTATGGCATCAAATTCTAACCATAGGTCAGTAAGGAAAATAGTTTGTATCCCTAAAATGGAATAAAAAAGTAGGAAAGTACAAAGTACAAACTTTCTAGAACTTGCTACAAGCTAAGTCTTGCGTTCTATGATTTATCTTGATGTGTTATAGAAGGTTCAAATGAATTAAGTAACATTTAACTACAGATTTGTACCACATGGTATGGAATAAAATACTATAAAATAACTTGTAGTGCATTGCACAAAACTACACTAAAAACTGAACATCTGCCGATTGTTGATTCATTCAATTGTTTACCCTGAAGCCAGAAAACTGAAAATAAACAAATAAAGCAAATATTTTGGTTTGTGTTTGATTTCTTTTACTCTTAAAATATCAAGGAGGGATATTCAAAGATCCAAAATGAAATTAGTAACAATGGTGCAACACTATTTTCATTTTGGCACACAAACGATGAGTTTTATTACCCCCCAGTTCTTTTAGTCTCCATTATTCATTAACAAAGCCATTCATTTTTCATGCAAAATCCATTGTCCTTATAACACTTCTGTTTTTGAATAAAATAATACATTTTAAATAGAAAAACAATGGGATGTATATATCTGTTTTTTGGGGTTTTTTTTTATAGGATGAAATGACCAAAAAAAATATCACACAATTATTTCCTAAATATAACAAATTACCTTGTTAAATACAAAATTAAACAAAGCAGGAAATTTAACATCCTGTCAATTTACAACTTATTGAAGAACAAAACATAATATACATACAGGGATACGAGTCTTTAATGACTGGAAATGCTTCTTCATTGTGTAAAATCCTCAAGAAAAATAATTCCTTAAGTTATTCATAAAATCACACAAAAATACATCTGTTCTGTGGGGTATCTTATCTTTTCAAAACATTCCCTAGTGGATATGTGTGTATATCTCAACAAGTTTTAAATTTAATCTACACATGAATCATCAAAAAAGTATAATTAAAGAGAAATCGCAAGGCTTAATTTCCATCATGCTATTTAATTTAAGAGATTTTTGTGCAGACATTTAAAATTTATTTGGTATATATTTAAAGGTATATTAAAACAGTTTGATGTCTATTTTGTCAACTGTATACTGCATTTGTAAAATATTTTCAATTCTTTATTAAGCCTCAGTTGTTAAAATTGTCCTACAGGATGGATTTGTTTCCTTTGTATATATATATAACAGGTAAGCACTGAGCTTACAAATAGCTATAAGCTTATTTTCTCTTTTTCCAGAGGGTTGGAACATGCTAAAGAAAGGGAGAAGGTATATAGAAGACAATAAAAAAGCATTGTTCTAACAAAGACAAACAAGACCATGTGTGACTAAAAACCAAAAGGTGAACAGAAAAAAAGCAGTCCACAAAAAACTAAAGTTTGAGCAACATGAACTCTCCCAAAAACCAGAATGCACTCAAATTTTTGTTAATTTTTGGGTGCCTCGGTTGGTCAAAGTTGCTCCCGACTTTGACCTGGAGTTCAATTTATTGATATCTCTCTAGTTTGTCTGTTTCCCTCGAGCATCCTGGTGGTTCTCTTGGAATACTTCAGCTTACTCCACCATAATAACAGATTTTCCCCAGTTTCCTAGCACTCCCTTTGTGTTGGGATGGGGATTGTTCTTGTAAATTCATATTAGTGACACATCTCCATTAATCCCGATAGGGATTGTACACAGATTCTGCTGTTCCCTCGCAGTCAAGGGGTGCTCTGAATCTACGTACATACATACATATTCATGTGCTCCAGAAGGGTAAGTAGTTCATAGTTGTCCAGTGGTGTTTCTCATGGTAAGAAAACATCTGTAGGACTAACGACTGTTGAATTTTGTTTGAGATTGTACTGAGCTTAAATCTAAAACCATACTAGGGTGTATATAAATTTTCGATTTAAAATCTCAAACTGAACTTGATCATCTATGTAAATAATGAATTTCACACTTCCACCTCTAATTTGATAAAAGATCAGAAACATCATAATCCAATTAGACGTTGGTACAATACAATATGCCAATTATCCACTTATTACTTGTTTAACAAGTACAAAATGTACTTACACTATACATCACGTCAATGACCTTGACTTTTAGCCATATTTTTAAGTTTGATAATAGGTGTCTGTAGGACAAGGTAATGGCATGCAGCTTAACCTCAGACACATGAATACTTTGTATATGTAAGTAGCTTCTGTATTAATTGTGATGAGGAGATGACCTGTATTTCAGCTCCTTTTTTTGGATTCATTATTATTTGTAGGATACCAACCTTCGTGGATTTCATGGGTACAGGTGGACCACTAATTTCTATATTCAATGATGTACAAATTTTGTAGGCTTGAAATCAAACTTTGGCAAAACCATGAAATCACACAGAGGCGGATTTAGAGGGGTTTTCAGGGGGCCCGGGCCCCCCCTTTTGTGGCAAAAATTTGGTTGATTATATAGGGAATCACTGAAGCATGACTGGAGCGGGCCCCCTCTTAGGCAGTCAGTGGGCCCCCACTTATGAAAATTTCTGGATCCGCCACTGTCACATATCCGTAAAAATTCATTTTTTCCATATAATCCACAATAATTGGTATTTACGAACATAAATGAATCCACAGTATATAACTTCAAAACTAATAATCATCTCTGTTGACCTTTACTTTGTCCTCAGATTGACCTTGAACTTTGACTGTTCCTCTTAACTTTAGAAGATCAAGGTACTAAATCTGAAATAAATAGTTCATTCATTCACAATTAACAGCAGGGTTTCA